GTCTGAACAAATCACTTTCCTCTCTGAGTTGCAGTTTCACTGACTGTAAATGCAGAAGATTGCACTAGAGGAATTGAAACTTTTTCCACTTAAAGAAAAATGTAAGCAATCACACCCTTTCTCCAGGAAAAATCTTATATGAGGATTCCTACTCTATGAAACATCTGTTCAAAAATAGAGCTGCCCTGCCCACTAAATCTAAGCATGCAGCCACCTCGTGACCCTGCAACACCACTCTGGGTATATACCTGACAGAAATGTGTCCATTGTCCCCAGAAAGGCTGTGCAAGGGTGTTCATAGCAGCTATGTTCGTAACACCAAAATATGGAGACAACCTGGATGCCAATTAAAAGCGGAAAAGCTAAATAAATCCTGGTATAGTCACACAACAGAATACTACACAGCAATGAAAAAAAGTGGACTCCTTCTACATGCAACAACATAGATGAATCTCCTGGACACAATTTTGATCAAAAGAAGTTAGACACAATGAATGCATTCTCTACGATTCCATTTATTTGAGTTCAAAAATAGATAATATGAAAATGGTGGTTCTCTTTGGTTAGAGCACTGATGGGAGAGAACAAGAGAGAACTGCTGAGACTTTAGAAAGATTCTTTATCTTGATCTGGGTAGTGGTTACATGGGTGCATAAGTTTACAGAAACTCATCAGGCTTTATTTTTTTTATTTTTTATTTTATTTATTTTTTTGAGATAGGGTCTTACTCTGTCACCCAGGCTGGAGTGCAGTGGCATAGTCAGAGCTCACTGCAGCCTCAACCTCATGGGTTCAAGTGATCCACCCACCTCAACCTCCTGAGTAGCTGAGACTACAGATAAGAGCCATCATTCCCAGATAATTTTTGTATTTTTTGTAGAGACGAGGTATCGCCATGTTGCCCAGACTGGTCTTGAACTCCTGAGCTCAAGCCATCTGCCCCACCTCAGCTTCCCAAAGTGCTGGGATTGCAGCCTTGCACCACCGTGCCCAGCCTCATCACACAAATTGAGATTGATGTGCTTTGTTATATATAAGTTGTACCTCAACAAAAACAAAAAGGGTAAAAAGAGAAATGGAATTACTTTGGTTGCTGTATACCACAAGATCTTGAAGACCCCTCTCCATCCCACTACCTCTATCCATTCATACCCTTGAAGGACTGACTCTAAGCTTCCATGAGGTACAGTTTAAAAGACCATCAGACTAGACCACGTCTAAGGAACTCCCAGCCCTGACAGTCTGTGATTCACCTTTGGGGTTCAGATTCAACTGCCTTTCCCTAGAAACCATCTGATATGGTTTGGATCTGTGTCCCCACCAAATCTCATGTGGACTTGTAATCCCCAGTGTTGGAGGTGGGGCTGGCGGGAGGTAATTGGGTCCCGGTGGCAGTTTCTCATGAGTGGTTTAGCACCATCCCCTTGGTGCTGTTCTCATGAGAGTGAGTGAGTTTTCACAAGATCTGGTTGTTTAAAAGTGTGCAGCATCTCCTCCCCTCACTCTTTCTTGCTCCTGCTCCTGCTCCTGCCCCATGAACCACCTTGTCCCCCACTTTGCCCTCTGCCATGATTGGAAGCTTCCTGAGGCCTCCCCAGAAGCAGAAGCTTCTTTGCTTCCTGTACAGCCTGCAGAACTGTGAGCCATTTAAACCTTTTTTCTTTATAAATAACTGAATCTCCAGTATGCCTTTACAGCAGTACAAGAACAGACTAAGACATCGTCCTACGGGTGACAGCTGTTTCAAATGTCCAAATCCCCACTCTATGGTTACCTTATCTCACCCTGTTCTTGTCACCTTCTTCCTCACTCTCTGATGCCCAAAGCCCACACACTGACCCCAGGACCACAGCCTCCTACTCAATCATCCTTAAGCATCACCATCTGCTCCCAAGGTCCCACAAGGGCCCCTGCAAGCTTACCTCCTAGTGTGAGCACAGGCTCCAGAGTCCACCCACCTAGTTTCAGACCCTGGCTCCCCTACTTATAGCTGGATGAGCTTCTTATCTGTACATTGGGGTTGGCTAATAGTACATATCATTGAATTGTTGGAAAGATTAATTAAGATAGTACCATGGCAAGCACTTCACACAGTATCTGATGCATCCTAAGTGCTCAAGAAGTGTTAGCTAGTATTCTCATTGTTGTTATCCGTCCTCGTCCTATTCTGTTATCACACACTCATGGCTCAAAGAGAGACAGCTTTTTAAAATTCAACAAGGCTAGACATGGTGACTCATACTTGTAATCCCAGGACTTTAGGAGGCTGAGGTGGAAGGATCACTTCTTGAGCCCAGGAATTCGAGACTAGCCTGGGCAACATAGTGAAACTCCATCTCTATTTAAAAAAAAAAAAAAAAAAATTAGCCAGGCATGGTGGCATGCATCTGTAGTCCCAGCTACTTGGGAGGCTGAGGTAGGAGGATGGCTTGAGCCCAGGAGGTTGAGGCTACAGTGAGCTCTGACTGTGCCACGGCACTCCAGCCTAGCCAACAGAGTCCCCGTCTCAAAAAATAATAATAATAACAATAATCTAGTAAACTGTTTAACACAGCTTTGCTGGACATCCTCCTCACAGCTTTTTTTGAGTAGACTTTGTGTTGTATGCTCAAAGTTACACAAATAATCAAGGCTGGAGAGAAAATTTAAATTTGAGCCTTACTGACTCCAAAGCCTGTCGTCTGAGCCTCCATGCTATTTGCTTAAGAAACTGTGTAATGGAGTTGATGGAGAGGGTACTTAATCTAAAGGAGTGAGCATCTGCTGGGGCCACTAGTATGACAGAAAGGATTTAGAATCAGATCTGGGTCCAGATTCTGGGCTGTGTGCTTTACCAGCTTTGTGGATTTCCACTAATTGCTTTAACTGCTCCAAGCCTCAGTTAGCTCACCTGTAAATTGAGACACCATTGTGGTAGGCATTAAATGAACTTTATAATATAGCCAAAAATTTAAAAAAGCTAACCCTGGGGATTTCCAGCATCAGGTGATGCAGATGAAGAGTGATCTGAGGAAGGGAACATACATTTCATCCATGCTTCACCCAGATCTCCCTCCAGTTCAAAACAGAACCCCTCACCCAAGGACAGCCCCTCCTATGACTGGGGATTTTTTAAAAAATCAAATGATGCCAAAGTGCAAAATGTTAACTTTGTGGTTCTGGTCTCTCTTCCTCTGTTGTCAGTTTAAAAACCGTTGCTAAAAACTAACATCCCCTCCCACCCTATCTTCCTCTTCTTGTTCGCAAGACAGAGCCTATCAGAGAATTCAAGGCAGTTTTGCTTTCAAATGGCCCATTTTTCTGATTCCCTCTTCCTTCTCAGCCTGAGCTCAACATGAATTTCCCTCCCTACCTCATTCTGCTCTACAGACACAGCTATGCCCTACGTGAGGGCAATTCAGGTGACACTCTAGACGCTACGATTTTACAAATCCCAGATTGCAGCAAGAAGCAGGTAGCTGAAGTAAATTCTTAGAAGGAATCAGAAGGGGAAAAGAATTTGGCCATCAGTGTGGGTTTAAAAATGCCAGAAATTCATATACACCCCATCGAAACATAATCCTTCACAGCCTCCAAGAGGTAAGTGAAGTAGTCCTTTTCTCTTGCTCACTTCCACATAACTTGCTGAGGCTACAAAGTCTTTTGGCAACATTCACTTTGTCATCTTTAACGTGTTGCTTTTAATGACCCACATAATGAGATTGCACCTCTCCAGGCCTGAATAAAAGTCATCCTGTGAAGTGGGAATCTTCAAGGAACCGGGAAGAGTACAGCCTTTCTGGAAGGGCATTTTGGCTAAGAATTAAATCTTTAAAAGGCTGATATCCAATAACTACAATTGAACCTAGTTTATCAAGAAGTCTTCCACTAACCACTGTTTCAAACACAAAACTGCCACCAACTGTGTGTTCTCAAATCCCCTTTAATGGTGCTTGACATCATCTTAGTGCAACTCCATTTATTTCCAGTTATTAAGGATTATTCAGTGAC